ATTTCTATTTTCATTAGTATAGACTTTTATCTCGGGCATCTGTTAGCCCGATGATCGACTTTATATTGTAGTTTTTTGTTTCTCTTTCGTTTTTCGGTTTTTTCCTTCTTGTTTTTCTTTTGGTTTTGGTTTTGATTCTCAGACTATGTAGACCTCTGTATCTGTTTCTTTGACATTATTGGGCTCCCGTTTTTGGGGCCTTGATCTATGCACAGGTTGGGGATCCAGCCCAATCCCCCGCCCTTCCGGGGCGTTGTTTGTTTAAAAAAAAAAAAAAAAAAAAACTAGCAACAACAGACAACTAACCTAGCAACAAAAGACAACTAGCCTAGCAGCATCAGACAACTAACCTAGCAGCAAGAAAGAACTAACCTAGCAACAAAAGACAACTAACCTAGCAAAAAAACACAACTAACCTAGCAGCTACAGATAACTAACCTAGCAACAAAAGACAACTAACCTAGCAGCAAGAAAAAAATAACCTAGCAACTTAAGACAACTAACCTAACAACAAAACTCAACTAACCTAGCAGCTACAAATAACTAACCTAGCAACAACAGACAACTAACCTAGCAACTACAGACAACTAACCTAGCAACATCAGAAAAATAACCTAGCAACTATAGAGAACTAACCTAGCAACTACAGAGAACTTAAGACCTATGCTCTCTCTCTCTCTACAATTTCTCTCTGCCCTCTCTCTAGAAACTATCTACCCAGATTCAACCATTTTCACCAAAATCCTTTTGATTCTTGCCCCATCTTCACTCCGGCGAGGCGGTGCCGGCGCCGGCCGGCACCCGGCCACCCTCATTTTGCTCGTAAACCAAATTCCACAGCCAATATCAACCATAACCCAGTCTTTCAATTTTTAAACTTTTAATCTCATCCCCGACCAACATGAGAACTCCGGCTAACCTCCTTTTCAACAACAAATCCCCATCACCCAGTCAAGCTTCGGAGCTGAATTTATTCTTAGCTCAACCCGAATTTCGAGAAGCATTCTCAGCTTTCCTAAAAAAAACAATACAAAAAATACAGAAGAAGTAGTAAACGAAATCACTGAAGAGGGTGAAATAGTCGCTGAACCCCGGACTCTCCCGACAGTCACCGGCGCTCCCGTTCTCAAACCCGACCAAATCAATCTTCCGATCACCTTGAGTTCGAGCTCTGGCGAGGCTGTGGAGGTCGAAGGTAATAATGGCCTTACGGTTCGATCCGGCCTGAACCGACGTTGGCGGTGGAGATGCCGACTGCAAATAATGATGGTCAACAGATCATTTTGAATGGAGGCGATTCAGAAGATGGAAACCCTCAGCTGCCAGCTCTAATGGCTTCAACACATAGGCCCAACTCTCCACCCACTTGGGCCGCAACTGATAAGACCCAAACCCACTCACTTAACTCTGGACCGAAACATACTCCTCACCGCCACCCTCAGCCTAATTCTCAACCTATCTCACAAACTGACTTCGGTCTCATCCAACCACACCCCCGGCCCAAAATCCACACTTCCCGATCCAGTCCCCATCTCACAGGCCTGCAATCTTCTGGCCCACCTATCCCCAACCCTCAACCCACCTTCTTTAGCCAAGCTCTTAACCTTCCAGTCTACGGGCTCACTCCACAGCCCAACAGCTCTCAACATTCCACCACCCGGGCCCGTCACTCCCAACCAGGCCCGTCGCAACCCTCATCCAAGCCCGACGCCTGCCAAGGTGCTGTTATCGCCCAATCGGCAGCCGATCTTCACACAACCAACGGCGGCACCGACGCCAGCGACGGAGCCAGTAGGGTCACCAGAAAACTTCAGCCGGCAAGAGCTGTAACTGGAGCTGGCCCTAAACCGGACCCTAGGGCTGGAATTCTAGGCCCCCGCCCAAGCACACCTCCTCCGACCACCCAACTTGCTGGAACTGCCCCTCCTGCGGGCAAAAATGCTAAACCGGGCATCATGCATCAACGAGAAGACGATGTTGTGGTTGTGGGTCCAAACATAATATCCACGGCACACCGTATTGGACCTCCTCTGATCGAGATACCGCCGATGGGCCCACCTACGGCTATCCCCGCCGCAGTCGGGTCCCTTCCGGGCCCCTCCATCGGGCCACTATCCTTTCGAGAGGCCATTACAGGGAGGAGAGATGGCGGCACAGGTGCCTTGCGGCCGAAGGCCAAGGATTTTACCTTTGATGGGGGATATGAACATGCTTGCGGAACCATCATCCGCTTGGAGGGAAACAAGGTGAAGGCCCCGATACAATGAAGTAAAATCTGTCGCTCTTGCAGGTAAGCTAACTAACACCCTGGTCTTTAAGTTTTCCTATGTTATCCCTGCCCCCCAAGATATATCTGCTGGTGTAGGCCAATTGGGTTTGAAGGGTAGAGTATCATCTACGTGGTACAATTTCAACCACCTTCTTGTGTCTTTCCACCTCCCCGAGGACTATAACGAGGTCTGGCCTAAGACCTCGATTCATCTATGTGGATGCTCAACTAGGGTGTTCAAGTATTATGTCGGGTTTAACCCGAAGATAGAGACGTCGGTTGTCCCTGTGTGGTGCCGTCTTCCTGGCCTCCCACCTCACCTTTACGATCGTGGTGCCATCACTACACTTGCTAAGTGTATTGGACAACCGATTCGTATTGACGCCCCGACAGTCCTTCAGACGAGGGCTAACGTGGCGCGATTTTGCATCGAGATAGATCTCAGAGTCGAGCCCATCCATGAGATTGAAATTGAACAGGGCTCGGAGACCCTTGTTCAAAGGCTGATCTATGAGAAGATCCCCGCGTTCTGCACCTTATGCAGTCATGTGGGTCATATTGCGGCTGATTGCTACACTAGTGGCAATAAGCCACGGCCCACACTCCCACAGCGCCATCATGCGGCTCAGCCAGGGCCCTCCACCGGCAGGAGGGACCCCAAAGGAAAGGGCAAAAGCCCTCACCGTGCGCCCGAGACCCCAAAGGGGTCTAAGGATAAGGGCAAGGCTGTGATCGATGCCACTGCCCAAACTGGGAAGGATGCTCACCCTAACCAGACTAAGCAGTTGGCCATAGTCGGGCCAAAGCCCAAGTCCACGGGCTTTCTTCCAATACAGACCCTTCAGTCGGCCTTCAAGGTTAACCACTCGTACTTTGCTATTCTCTCCCCACAAGCAGAGAATGAGGCCGCGCCTTCCACCAGTGGGCCACCTAGGATTACAGACCTCACTCTTCTTGACGACGACGACCTCCTTGTCGACGATATGGACTAGTCGGATGCCTCACCCAGGGACGAGTCCATCCATTTGTCCAATGACAGTGCACGCGACACGGCTCCTTTGACTGTGCCTGCATCTAGTCCGGACCCCCACCCTCCCGCTGGCGGCGAGCACCCGAGTGCTCCGCCTACTGGATTCTCTCTTTCTCCCATCCCCGAGCAGGCATGTGGTCTTAACCGTGCCCAGCATGACGTCTCGTGCAAGAGTTTCGCATCTAGTGCCTTTGGGCACTATGACAGACATGAGACAGCCCCGGAGATGGGGCAAACCGTAAGTGCCGCTCTTGGCCAGACTGCCCAGCCAGACGACACGCAGGCCATGAGCACCTACCGAGGCAGGCAGTCCACGAGGACCAGAGCCACGCAGCGTACCACACGACGGACTGTCTCCCCTGCTATTGGATCCTTCCTCCACATTCATTCTTTAGGTGGGCCGACCCAGCCTCGCCACAGGCGGACTATGTCCGGTGGCTCATGCGACCATTGTAATAGCCCAGTTCTGTATTAATAAAATGACAGTTTTTAGTTCCAAGTCGAACTATTTCTTTTTATTAATACTGCTCGTCTTGAGTTCCGAACCCAATTATCAGCTATTCAATCTCAGTTATTGATTCCGGTCCATTTATTTTGAGCAATGGATTTTATTCAGTCGGAATTAATTATTTCAGTTGGCGAATAATGGAAACCGAGTATGTTTCGATAAATCATCTAAGCCAAGCCGTGTCCGGAACCGAGTTGTTCGGTCGCGAGTATCGCGCCTAGTTCGCGCCTAACCAATTCTCGAGCCTTAGTAGTCTCGAGTCTTGTTCGAGCCCTAGCCGTGCTCATAGCCTTACTTAGAATATTTCCTAAGTATGAGATCATTTTTATCGAGCCTTCGATGTCATTCCCTCGGCCTAAGTTACCCCGCACCGAGCTCGTGCACGAGTCCGAGTCCTCGCGCCCAAGTGTCGCGTGACTCGTCAAGCCGCGAGTGCCCAAGTCATGGCCGAGTGTTGTGAGAATTTTTCCTAAGTGTTTTGGGGACTAAGGTCAGCCCTAGAAGGTGGAAGACCTCGGTCCAAGCTTTACCGAGCCCTAGCAAGGGTCGCGCCAAAGTGCCGCACGAGCCCACTCCATGTCGCGCCCAAGTCATGGCAAGTCCAAGGATTTTTCTAAGTGTTGGCAACACTTAGGTTCAGCCATGCCTTAGTAATATACTCGGGCCAAGTATTTCTCGCGCACAGCCCAGGCCAGCACTCCCCGCGCCCAGCTCGCGTGATGAAGTATCGTGTGTTTTCCCAACTCGTTTGTCTCGAACTAAGCTTTGCCACGGCTTATCCTTCGACGATAGGTGTGGATGACTCGGTTGTTAGCCTTATCTTCTCACGATTTTGAGATGGTTCAGGTCTTAGCCTTGCCAACTCGATTGGTATGATAAAACTCTCACGAATTCTAAACACACGGTTTTGTTCTCACGAACGATTTTCCATTACTTCTTCAATCATATATTTCTAATGACATATGGGTGGTATTTATAGATACCAATTAGATCTAATCCTAGTCTAAAGTCCTAAGGAAACTAAATAAAGACTTTCCAAAACTACTTAGGCACATGCCTTTTATTCCACATCCTAACCAAACTATTATTCCTAAGCTACTAAGGGACATCGGCCCTTAGGCCTTCTAGAAGGATCGCGCGTCCCTTTGTGCCGCGCGCCTCGACCAAACCCTAGCCGTCACGGCTAGTCCTTGTTCTCTGAGGTCTCGGCCTTGGTCGCCCCACGTGCCCCACGCGTCTACTTCCTTGCACCCCAAGTCGCGCGGATTCTCTTTAGTCGGTGTACTACACCTAATCCATCGAGGACTTGCGCTATCTAACTCCCACGTGCCTCGCGCGTTATCGCCCGTGCTTCGCGTTAGCCTCCTCGCGCGTCCGTTCCTCCGCGTGTCCCTGCAACCCGCGCGTGAGCTGCGCTCGCTCACCTCGTCGACCCTGTCGACCTCGTCGACCTCGTCGACCCTGTCGACCGCTTCGCCCTTGTTGACCTCGTCGACCCACTCCTTTAGCGCGTCCGCGCCATCCCCATCATACCCTTGCTCGACCAGCGCCTTGTGCGTGACTCTCGTTATCGCAGCCCGCTCATACCCGCTTGTCGGGCCCTTCGCATCGTTCCAACCCACTCTCGCGTCTGCGCCACTGCAGCCGCCCCATGCGCACGCTGTCCATCCTTCATCCTCCCCTCGTGCACCATTTGCCTTAGCCATCGTATGTTGCTTGCGAAGATCTCTCACGCATGCCTTGCACAACTCGCCCACTTTCCTGGGCTCAATCTTCTCGCTCTCATCATCGGCCCAATACGCGACTGTGGGCGCATCTCCCATCGCGTAGCCTCTCCGGGCCTTCTTAGCACGGTCTCGGTACTCATCCCGGGACCTTGCGCGCTTCTTCTCACGGGTTTCACGTGACTCGTCCTCGGGCTCGGATGGTTCGATGACTACATCCTCATCATCGCGCCCAGGCCCAGCGCTGGCAGCGCACAAGTCCAATTCTTAGCCCAATGCGTGATTATTCTGAGCCCAAGACTTGGCCCAAGTATCATGCGAGTATTAAGGGGTTAATGGAGAACTAATTCAGCTTAGGATGCCCTAAGTAAGGATTAAGGATGTCACATGGGCATTATGGATTATTTAAATGTGAGTGGAGGGGGCCATGTTGAATTGTTTATGTTGGGAACCTTGTCCCCTTGTGCTCCAGCCGACCAAGGCCTGTCCAAGGCACATTTTTAATCCAAGATGCTCTGCAAGATGCCCAAGAAGACCATGCAAAATCAGGTCCCAAGACCACCTAAGCTATGGCCATGCGCATGGAAGTTAGGAGCACCACTCATGTCCCCCTTGACTCCCTTGTTTGCTCCGCCTCTCCTCTCTATTTAAGGGACTCTTCCCAGCTCTTGTTCAGCTCTTGTTCTGCTCTTGGACACTTTAACACTTAAGTATATTGAAGGAAGACAAGAGAAACAGAGAGCTAAGTCCTTAGCT